TCACGCCAGAGACTCAATTCTCTGCCAGACTCCAAAGTGCAAGCCAGGCATCAGCTACAGAACAGAGGCTCACGCTAAAGTTCAAGAGGGGGGTGATGAGACCAACCATGGAGAACGAAAGAACAGGGCCTGTCCTGCAGCCCTGTGGGCAAACAAACCGGGCAGAAGACACTTCCCCTTTCAGAGCTTCTGTTTCCGTGGAGTGACGCAAATGCCTTCACACATGCTCCGGGCACTTTCTCCAGAGCCTTCACACTTCCAACTGCATCCTCAAAAAGCACCCTCAGGCCCCGATTCAGTGGCTCTTACTGAGCACCGGGACTAAATTTAGTTTCTTGGAAATAAGTGACAAACTTGCTAGGTTTTTATTTTATTTTATTTACTTTTTCTTCTGTGAAACAAGGGATAACTCTCCAAATGCAAACCAATGACAGGGGAGAGAAGAGAGGAGAAAGGTCCTGATTCTTTCTGGTGAGTCAGTATTTCTTTCCCCAAAACACATCCAACTCCTCGGCATGTGATTTTCAATCAGGAATTAGCTCTGTTGCATTGCGGGTGGGGGAAGGGGTGGTAGTGGGTGGGGGGGGGGGGGACAGCGAAAGAATCGAATCCACATTAAAAAGGCCAACCTAAAGCAATCTTTACTTGGGCTATTAATAGAATCGGCCCTTCTGGAAACTGAGAAAAAAAATCCAATTAATTTTCGAAATCAGGAGAGCGGCTGCCTGTCCGTATCCCTGGGCTTGGTCTGGGCGTGGGTTTTCTGGTGAGTGGTCCCCTATGATGCCCCAGGGCTAGCTGGCCCCCTGTGACGTCCCAGGGTCAGCTGGCTGATAGGGGTCCCTTGCACCCTGAGGCAGGGGAGGGCAAAGCAGAGCCTGAACGGAATCCAGAGGACGCATCTGAACGTGGCAGTCCCCGGCCACTGCCCTCTCCTCTGCAAGTGCCACCTGCCCAGCTGGGGGGGGGACAGGGCTGGACAAACTGCCAGATGTTCCTGCTCTGGAAATTAGCCGCCACCGGGGCACAGAGGAAAGAACTGAGGCAGGATGCAGCCACTGTCACAAGGCTTCAGCATGCCCACCGCTAATGCCCTGTCCCAGAGAGGGTCCGTGTCTCTCCTGCGCAAACCCAGAACAGCGTGTGCACTCAAAAAAGATGCCTCTGGCTGAGCTGCCTTTTCCCCTCGCGTGTGCGGCTGTCCTCAAAGCCATGGAGTGAACCTCCTGGTACTTCTCTCGGCTATTCTTGGGTGTTAGTCTCCTATTTTGTTACTTTATGTTAACAAAAGGGAATGCCCTGCCACAGAGGTAGGGTGGGATGGGGGGATGGGGGGTGGGAAGGATACTGGGACTGGTGGTGGTGGTGGAGAATGGGCACTGGTGGACGGATGGGTATTCGATCATTATATAACTGAGACCCAAGCACAAAAATCTGTAAGTCTACAACTGTACCTCATGGTGTTTCACTAATAAAAATTTAAGAAAAAAATTAAAAAGACGCCTCTGGAGGCTAAGAGCCATAGTACAGCAGACAGGGCATTAGCCTCACATGTGCTGACCCAGGTTCGACCTCAAGCGCTTCATATGGTCCCCTGACTACCTCTGGGAGTGATTCCTGAGCACAGAGCCAGGAGTAAGCCCTGAACACCACTGGCTGTGGCCCCAAGCCAACCAACCAAACAAGCAAAAAACCGTCCTACTTGAGTGGGGCAGATTGCACAGGGCTCCGGGGTGTACACTGAGCATGCACGGGACCCCATTCAATCTCTGCCACTGCATTCTCCCCCACCTCTCTAGGAATGGTAGGGTAGCCCTGGAGGCACTTGCACCACCAGGCATGCCCCTGGTGATCCCCAGCACTGTAGGGTCCAAATACCAGCAGACACAGATACTGAGCACTGCTTAGGGGCAACCACACCCCACTCCCACCCGGTCTCGTCTCAATTCCCAAGATCCCATCTTAATAAAAAGAAAGGCACCTGGAATTCCTACACACAACACACACACACACACACACACACACACACACACACACACACTCACACACAGAGTCACAAAACATGCATCTAGACTTTCCTGCTGTGGAGGAAGCATGTGGCTGAGATGTTGATCCTGGGTCACTGACAGTCACCCTCCAAGGGTCCCCCCTCCCCCCCCCCCCACACACACACACACGCCGCCATCCCTCACCCTGCCCCCAGGAAGCACCCTGTTCAGCTGTGGGTTGGGGCAGAGGAGGGAATTTTCCCCATCCATGGGCTGATTCCTCCCCCAAAATACACCTTTCCCAGTTCTCCACAGTCCAGAGCATTAGGGAGGAGCCGTGGAGCCATGGGAGGGGCTGTCGACGTTCCCAGCTCAGCTCAGTGGCCCTGAGGGAGCTGGAGGGTCCCAGAGTCCCCAATCCCTTCTCACCCCCGCCTCTGCCTCTGTCAACTCAGAACATCCCATTCTCGGGGGCTGGCTTCGAACCTCCTCACTCAGTCTCATCTCCCAGCAGGAGAATAGCCATGTGTGCGCTTGTGGGATTATAGGAGCTAATTCATCTGGCCTGGGGTCACTGTCACTGTCACTGTCCTCCTGTTGTTCATCGATTTTCTCGAGCGGGCCCAGTAACGTCTCCATTGTGAGACTTTGTTGTTACTGTGTTTGGCATATCGAATACGTCACGGTAGCTTGCCAGGCTCTGCCGTGCGGGCGAGATCCTCTCGGTAGCTTGCCGGGATCTTGGAGAGGGGCGGAGGAATCGAACTCAGCATGTTGGCTGCGTTCAAGGCAAACACCCTGCCCGCTGTGCTATTGCTCCATTGGGGGCAGAATATGTGAAGTGCCATCAAGCGCAATTTGGTGTGTGTGTGTGTGCATGGGCTTACGTGGCTCCAGCCATGGGAACACAAGAGAATGAGTCCCTGGGTCATATTCACACCATAGAAAAGCCACCAGCTGAAACACTTGCCCTGGCACAAATACCACCTGCAACAGGCAGCTTCGGTCTCCCACAGAACACCTGGAGACTGCTTCTAGAACTTTCTCCCAGGTTCACCGAATCAGGATCTCTGTAGTACTCCCCTAGATGTGTGTTTTCCTCACCATAGGTATGGGAGTCAGCAGCATTAGGACAGGAAGGGGAACAAAATGCTTTGGGGGCTAAGAAGGGCTCTCTCCTCCCCCCTTCCACCCATCTCTCCTCCCCGCTCACCTCTCAGACACAGGTGCCCTAAGGCACCAGTTTCCAAACACTCATCTGTGAAGAGTCACCACACAGAGAGACAGACCCGGCCAGGTGAAAAGCAGGAAAGGGAAACGCACTAACCACAGCGTCTCCTCCTGAGATCTTCCACCTGGAATTCGTGGTGAAAGGAAGATGGGAAGTGGTGGGAGGAAGGACTGAGATACTCAGACAAAAAGCAGATGGGGTCACACTAGAGGAGAGCGACCCAGAGTCGCCCAGATGCCCCCCCCAAATCTCATCACCCTGGTCCAAGAGGGGAGAGGTTCCTGCGAAGCTCAGAGACCTGGGGTGGCAAGGCAGTGCCCCTATGGGCACCCAGCTGCCTCGGGTGAACCTGAGTGACGGTGCAGACGGGGGCAGGGACAGGCTCCCAGGGTTTAAACAGCTCTTGTCCCGGGTCCCTGGTGTAAACCAAGAGTTTGCGGTAACAAGGTGCAGTCCGCGGGCACCACTGACTTCAGGGCGAAGAGGAGGGCAGGGCACCAAAGAGCTCCCCATCTATGGCCCACCGAAGGCTCCTGTGTCACCCCCCAATCCATCATGCCCCACACGCCCCAAGCACACATGAGTTCTACGCAATCCCGTCCTCTGCACCTCCCCAGCCTCCTTCCCACCACTGGCCTCCTGCCTGGACCCAAATCACACCAACCCCCCACAAGGTGCTGTGTCATTGCTGCTTGGTGCAGTTAACCTCGGCCTGAAATGCCCTCCCGCGAGCACGCCTTCAGCTTAACTCAGATCTGCGAGGTCCTCTTCTTCCGGGAACTTCCCGGACTTCCAAGACACAAGACACATGGTACCTTTCAAGTCCTTTGATGAGCTAACAACCCAACTGCTACAAGTCAGCTCTGTAGGGGTGTGTGTGTGTGTGTGTGTGTGTGTGTGTGTGTGTGTGTGTGTGTGCGCGCGCGCGCGCGCACGCGTGCATGCCCAGGGCACCCAGCATGGGGCCTGACACATGGCAAATCATCACCAGAGAGAGAGAGAGAGAGAGAGATCTGAGTTCAGATCTAAGGAAAGTACTTAGGGATGGAAGAAAGCAGCAGTTTCCTGCTCTGGAAGGTAAGAATAATATAGCTCGACTGCACGCTTTCCTGGGAAAGAGCACCCACAGCACCCACTCCGTGCCTGCACACAGTAGGTCCTCGTCACCTTCCTGAAAACCGGCCCCTGTCTCTCATTTTCACTGTTCTCAGTCAGCTGCTCGGAACCCTAAGCTGCTCCACGTGCTTCTTCCCAGTTCCCCGGAGGGTTGTTCTGGCCCAATTCATCACTGTCCCTGGCAGAGCAGGAAAGGCACCCCTCCAGAAGCAGAGAAGGGCCGGGCAGGGGGATGGGGGGGGTGGGGAGCGGTGGATAGAGGGGGGCTCTAAATTAACTAAGAGGGGACCAGTAAGGAAAAACCTTCTAGCTCTGCTGGCGAGGAGCAGGCTGGGCAGGAGTTGCCAGAGCCACTTGGTTTCCTGAGCTTTCTGCCCGCGCGGCGCGTCCCGGCTCGCAAGTGTCCAAGACGCATCAACTTCCAATGCGGCTGCAAGTGGGAGCCCGGGGCGGCGGCAGGCTGGGGGTGGGGGTGGGGGTGGGGGCTGCAGGGCGGGAAGGGGGCCAGCACGGCCCGAGTCGGAGCCCCGTGCGCGACCTCCCACCCCGAGTGAGTCCCCCCCCAACCTCCCGGGAACCTGCGGCCACCCGCCCGCCCGGGCTGCTGGAACCCCGCCGCCGCCGCCGCCGCCGCGCGCCTCCCGACCCCCTGCCCGCGCCCCTACCTTGGGGGTCTGCACTTCGTGTCTCGCCGGCACCTCGAACTTTCTCTTGGTCGCCCAGAACAGCAGCAGCACGGTGATCCACAGCACCCCGAAGAGCGGCAGCACCAGGCGGCGCGTCAGGCGCCGCATGGTCCCCTCTGCCTTGTCCCCGCGGGGGGCACCCCCTGGCGGCCAGGCTGGGCCGGGCGGGAGCGCCGGGGTGCGCGGGGAGCCCCCGCGGCACGGGCGGGACGGGGCCGGGGGACGCGCGCCCGCCCGCCCGCTCGGGAGGGAGGGAGGAGGCGCGGGGGGCGCGCGGGGCGCCCCGAGGCGTGGCCGGGAGGAGCGCGGGGCCGCCCCGCTGCAGCCCGAGATGCTGCCCGAGATGCTGCTGCCCGGGATGCTGCTGCCCGGGATGCTGCTGCCCGGGATGCTGCTGCCCGCGCCGCCGCCGCCGCCGCCGCCGCTGGGGAAACTGATGGAGCGGCGGCGAGGAAGGAATCCGAGGCTGTGCCGGGCACCCCGGGAGGGGCGCGGAGGGGAGGGGGGCGGAGGGGAGGGCGCCCGCCAGACAGAGCGACTCCGGGGGCGCACGGGCGGGAGCGCGCAGGGCTCGGCGAGGGGGCGCACGGCTGCCGCCGCGGGGCCGAGCTGCCCGCGCCGGGTCCCCGGACGCAGCTTCCCCGGGCACCCCGCGCCCGCCGGGGCGGGGCGGGCACCTCCCGCCGCAGGGCGCTCCACCCCCACCCCGAGGCCGCGACCCCCAGGCCAGCCCGCGCCCGAGCTGGGCCGGGGACCGCTGGACCGATCGCCGCGGAAGGGGGGTGGGGAGTGGGGGGCTGCACGTGGCGCTCACACCCGCCTCGAGGCCATCCTCTCCTCTTGGAGTGGACACTGGTTCCTGGGGTCCTGGTGGGGACGATCCGCCGCACCTCGAGGTGGCTTGGGTCACCCCACCCACCCACTCATCCACCCCGCCGAGGGTCGGAGTTCAGCCGACTCTCAGGCTGCTTCTGAATTTATGCCTCTTGCAGGTTATCTGGCAACTTTTTTTTCTGCTGGAGGGAATGCCGAGCTGGTCTAAATTCAACTTTAAAAATAAATCCTTCGCAAGATTAAGACGCAATTATCTCGCGGGCAAGCTTTCTCGCCCTACACGCTCCAGGGCTCTGTGCTCACCAAAAAAAAAAAAAAAAAAAAAAGGAGGGTCCCAGGTTGAGCGGGCAGTGGAGTTCTTAGGAGCCAAGGGGCTAGGAACGCTGGAGGCAGAGGATTACCTCTGCAAAGTCCCTGCTCCCAGCCGCCTTGGGAAGGAGAATCCCTCCCCTCCCCCCTGCAGACTGCAGCTACTGGGTCTGGAGACAGAGCAGGTTCTGACTTGGATTCTCATAATGGTATCACTGACCCCTGTGCGGTGTGAAATCCTGGCTCAGTCCTCTACCTAAGCCGGCCTTAGACTCTGGAAGATGGGGGCCACAGTTGACTCCTCTGACAGGCGAGTGAACTGTGGGGGAAGCGGATCGCAGAAGTGCTGGTGCTCTCTGATCTTTGGATCACGCAGAAGAGGGAAGAGAAATCTTGGCTGTGACTGGGAGACAACAGCAGCGGGAACCTGCCTGCTGAAGGCATGCAGCCTTCATTGGAGGGAGCTGGGGGCGGGAGCCCCGTGTACCCACTCCTGCGGTCAGCATTCCCCTGGCCTCCCTCTCCCTATAGAGGTCAGCATGGAGAGCTTGCCGACCACCCCCCACGCCCCCAGACCCGGCCAGAGGTGGGCAGGTGTACCTCTACAGCAGGAAGCCATCTCCACTAACACAGGTCCTGGGGAAAGAGGTCAGAAGCAAAAGTCTCTGCAGAGCGTGCCCTGTGTTTGGTGCCTCTCACCAGCTCCAGGCAGTCCTGCCTGGCAGTGCCAGAGTCCTGGCCCGGCTTACGTAAGAAGTCAGGACAGAGGTGAAGTCAAACAAGCCAGAATAGCTAAGTGCTTTTGCCAGCCCAGTGCGAGATTCTGCTGAGTTCTCAGACCATCCCACGGAGCCCTGGGGGTGCCCCTGGGCTAGAGCCTCCAGTAGAACTTGAGACATGGACAGGTGGGGTAGGGACCCCCATCCCAGCTGTGACTGGGCAAAAGTCGGGGCGGGCCACCACCCCGGTGGGAAGTGGAGGGCGCACCCCTCCCCGCCTGCAGCACCTACTAGAGGTCCCTGCATCTCTTCCAGGAGCCTTGCCCGGACCTGCAGGTGTGGGTCTGCGAGTGCTTAGCGGTGGGCTCTGCAGGGCCCCAGGCGAGCTGCTGAGATGCTGTGAGCGCCAGGCAGGAGCTACCGCGCTGGAGCCCGCGTTGCTCAGCGCTTTGTGATGCTGGTTCTGAGGAACAGATGGCAGACAGTTACACAACACCGGCGCCAAGTTTCTGAGATGGTGCAGTGCCATCCTGCCTGCTGCCGAGGGGCACGAGGGGGGCAGGGAGGAGGCTTCGTGCCAACTGTTGGTGACCGGGGTAAACCAAGTCCCGGGCTTCCTAAGGCTGCTCTGGGCAAGGCTGGCGATGTCTGGAAGAACGAGAAATGCCTCTTGACTCTCAGTTCTGTCCTTCGCTGGAGTGGAGAAGATGCCCCAGACCCCTGGTGGCCGTCAGGGGAATCCTGCGTTGCCAAGTGTCATTACCTGATGAGCGCAAAGGCATCTTCCGCTGATAGAAACTGCCGTTAGGATTGAAATTGATTTCGGGTGGGATTGGAAGCATCCAGAAGCCACCTGGTGTTTCCGTGAGGGGCCCCACCCCCTAGGTCTCCCCAGGGATTCCTCCTGGGTCCCCCCCCTTCTGGTGGGAATTGAAAACTTTAATAACCAGCTTTAAGTAACGCAGAGCACAGTGGATCTCAGTGGGCCAATAGCTCTCAGAGGTGACTCAGCCAAGTGGCTTTTTGCTCATCACAGCCTGGATGAGAAAGAAAAGCTCGTTGCTAAAGATTCAACCTGGCAAAAAGAGAATTCGGTGGCTCTGAATTCTAAACATTGCATTGCTCTCTGAAGGATCAACCCCCTCTCCCTCATTCTGTCCCCCTCCCCCCGAGCAAGTTTAGGTCCCTGGGTCTCATTCCCCGCCCCTCTCCATAACGACCCTGCCCTCTCCAAGACCCTGTCGCCTCACCCTTGGCAGGCGCCAACCTCCCTTGTCAGGAATGGGGACTCCTTTGGCCCCGCCTGTCGCTGGCACGTTCTCTGGAAGCTGTTCTCGCAGCCGAAGACATTAGCGATCAAATGGGGTATTGGAGCAGATGTGAGTCATTGGTGTTGGTATAAAAATGACGGCATAAAACCCGTGATGGCCCCGGAAAGCTGTGTCAGGCAGCATATGGAGCCCTTGTAAGCTGGAACGGGAGAAGCTGTGAGTCCGTGCATATGCTCGGTGGTGGCTTTGGCTGTGGCCTGTCTGTCACCTTGTGACTCTGCTCCTGCCTCCAGCCACCCTCCTGTCCCTTGGTTCTGCTAGCTCTTTGGACCCTTGAAGACCAATTTTCCCCACCCCTTCCCTCTTATCCTGGGCCCAGGGGAGTCTGTGTCCCTATGTGCATAATTCTTAGACCTGTCACTATCAGCCAGATGCTCTGGGCACCATTGTTCTGAGATGTCACCCGAGAGGCCCAGGTGGTCTTTTATTGTGTTCTCACTCCCCTGGGCAGGCCAGCAGATTGGGGCAGGCAGCTCCCAGCCCTGAGATGACGCTTCCACACACACTGGTCCAGCACTGGCAGGGTCTCCAGCAGCAAGAATCCGAAAGCGTTTTCGTTTGGCTCCTCCGTCCTGCGCACACAAGGCTTTGAGCTGCCCCCCCACCCCCAGGGTCTTCTCTGTTCACCTCCTCCCTCCGCCCCCCGTAAATAATACATCAACCCCTGCCTCTTCCCCATTCCTCTTCCTTTCTCTTGCCACCGCCAATCCTGCCAAAGCTGCATATCCCCAGTCTCCTGCGAGATCTTTTATAAAGTGAGTGACAGAATAGTTTAGGCCATGCGGTAAACGAGAATGAGCCATTATCAACCTTCTACCTCCTCTCTCTGCCACATTGGTGCATCTTTGTCAAAAGAATAAAGCTCCTGTGCTGCCTCTTATCTTTGACGAGAAGATGGGTGGCTTTATCTAAAAGATCTGAGCATCACCTTTCTGGATCTTTCTCTCTCCATTAAACAACTCCTTTTACCCTCCCACTACCTGTACCTCCTTTCTTGTTTTTCTTCCATCCCACTGTATAATTTGCTTCCTGGAAAGGGAGTTCTATCTTTGCATTTCAAAAGCCTGCTGCTTTCTTTCATTATTCAGAATGCCCCCCAAACTTTCTTTGTTCCTCCCCCCAAAACACCAAATATGCAACCTGGTATTGCTACAATGATGCGTCTTTGTAAATTCTGAATAATGATTCGGCTCTTCAGTGGCAGTACATGGCACTGACTCAAGTCAAGGACAGGACAACTCCCCTCCCCCCAACAAAAAAAAATAAGAAAGAAATACAAAGCAGCATAAATGAGTAGTCTTCTTAACTTAAAGTAAAAGAAAGAAAATTCTTCAACAGCAGTTACTTAGATGGGACATGGAAGAAGACAAGAAGCAGAGGAATGGAGGGATTCAAAGATAGGCCATGTGCTCATGATCACGATCACAATCACGATCCTGTTGATCATTGATTGCCTCGAGCAGTCCCCAGTAATGTCTCCTTCGTCCTAGCCCTGAGATTTTAAAAAGTTCCATATTCAAGGCTCTTTCAGGGTTAGGAGAATGAAACTCATCATTGTTACTGGTATTTGGCAAATTGGGTACGCCATTGGGAGTTTGCCAGACTGTGCTTTGTGGGCAGGTTACATTCGGTAGCCTGCCAGTTTGTCCAAAGTAGGAATGAGATAATAAGATGTTGTGCAGCTGCAAATGTGGCCGCGTGCTTCTGGGAGCTGGGTTTTATAGTCTCTGAGTCTTGGCCGTTGATGGGATTACACGGTGCCAGGGGGCCAGTTGGTGGGTGTGACCCCCGCCTACTGGAAGGCGGAGGATCTGGGTGGAGGATGCTCAGCCTTGATCCAAGCAGGCTTGGAGATCTCAGCCCTGGGACCCGCATGTCTTTGTTCCTCTGCCGGTACCTTCATGCGTGTGGAGAGTGGTCTCAGCATGGTGGAGGCTGGTTCTGGAGGTCTTTGGCTGCTGGAGCTCTGCTTGGGGCGGGGAGGGAAACTCAACCCGCCCCCCTCCAAGGGGCCCCGGCAAGGACAG